GAAGGAGGTTGAGTTGGGGGATGACGAAGGAGGTGTGCCATGCTGCTCTAGACTTGCCGGTCAGGACGTATTGATGGTAAGGTTTGGGGAAGCGCCATTCGAGGATCTCGGACCGGCTTGATTGCGGCAGAGGGGTTGCGAATGTGGCCATTGTGGTGTCGGCTGGGAGTAGTATCTTGGCTGGGTGGGAAGGGGGAGCCGAAAAGAGCGTCGTCGGCGTTGGAACCGGGGCCGGGGAAATCTGGGCCCGGGGTAGATCCGGGGTAGTTGTAGCTGCTGCGTTTCTTGATAGTACGGATAGAATGCTCTTATTGCTGCGAAGACTGGAATATCCTGTGTGTAGTTTATGTTGCAAACTCTTCAACATGCAACACAGGCGAAGGGTTTGTCCCGGAAAGAGCCTTTGCAAGTGCTTTTGCGCTACAATATGGTACCTGGGAGGTTCCCTTGATGCCGATGACTCTTGGACTTGATTGAGGATGACTCTATGCTGTGGCTCAATTAGTTGGTTGCCACAATCTCGAGGCTGACCGATAATAGACAACAAAACGTACCTTGTCCCAAATTGGCAGATGATGAATGTATTACGGGTCCAACTTTGCCCAAGCAAGAGGTCAGACGGTATGGCTAACGATGTCCCATTCGACTTTCACCTGACGGAAGTCACCGTTGAGGCATTGAGTGAGCGCGACGCTGGCAGAAATTTTGCTGACGTCATCACGAGCACCCCCTTAAGTCCGATGGATCGGACATTGTGCTACCTGCCTTCATCGTCGTTCTGCATTCCGCCTTGCTGCAACTGGTCACGTCCATCACCAAGGTACGGTCATCATACCGAGTACTCAATTTCTCAACTGGCATTGATACAGAGTTCAAGACCGCGCTGCAATGTGGAATATGTTTGGGGGTTGCTGCGCCCATCGCGTGGCTGCTGTTGAGGCACTCCCACATTGGCGCGATAACACGCCCGCTGCACGATTTGTAGGGCAGGTTACTCCATCAAGAACAACTTCAAAAGAGCTGGATATCCTGCCGTAGGGATCGGGGTTTGGTCCAAGACTCTGACGTCCAGCTGGCCTTTCGCACTTTCGCACCTTCGCACTTTTGGGCAAGAAACGGCTTAGTCCTATCAGTGAAATGGGTGAGTTTCCAGATGCCTGGTTGAGGTGCCTTTAGGTAAAGCATTCGACCATGAGAACTCACAGCCTCCTTCTGAATGGTCAGAGTCCTTGACTAAACCCAATTAGGCGATTTTACCCGGCGTTTGCTGAGTGGCCAGAACAGTCACCGCTCGCCCGAACCTGGCAGCGCCTGCGGTTCCGAGCAGGGCCCCACCAAAACAGCCGTGCAAACCGACAACTCCGGTCCCGGAGAGTGGGCCCTAAGGGGTCCACCTCTAATAAGGACACCCGGAGGTTGAGGTCACCAGAGCTTATCGTCTAGGGTTTCCCCATCCAGCCCCTCGTCCCGCCCTCCCCCCCACTTTCTTCCATGTGTCTCTCTCCCCTCCACGTCGCTTCATCTGCATTACTTTCGAAGACCAACGATTCTTTCATGCTCCCCAGCGCTTGAGCTAACCTGGACTTTCATGGAGTTCTCTCGAGTCCCGGGAGACGAACCGTCGGAAATGCGCAGCTAATGCACAGTCTGTGTGCGACTCTCCTTATCGGGTCGACCAGACGAAACGTCGACCACGCCTTACAATTCCATTCATCCTATCCTGTACCTCAATTCCGGAATGCTAAGAAGCTAAAGCTAAAGCTCTTATCAAACCAATTCAGACGTCTCCACCGTGTCCAATGGCTTGACTTATCGAATCGCAACGGCTTACAGCGCCCTTTACCAATTGCCAATGGGCGTGACGCGCCACATCGCTTGTGCAAGGTACGGTGCACCTCGTTTGTCGTCTGAACGGCCCCCGAGCAATACCCCAGGTCGCTTTACTGCGTAGGCTTGCATTGCCTGATCCGGCTGGTCTTGGAGGGACGAGTCGCGCATCGGATGAGAACAAGAGAGCGCGCCTATCTTGCGCGCTCCTGGTCGGAACAAGAGGGGTGAGGGGCCTCACTCTGGGGATCCCCTTGATCGATTTGGAGATATAAGCTGTAGCTTTATCCAGAGCTCGACTTCCCTCAATCCCCAATTGCAATTCTCTCGATACCCTCCGCACTCGCCATTGACCTCTCTCAAGACCAGTTTCTCGGTGACAAGGAAACCTGTATAACCATACACACAGAGGATCTACACAACCACAGAGACATACACAATGGCACCGCCGCACCCTCTAGATCCCCTCTCTTCCGCAGAGATTGAAAAGGCCATCGCCGCCGTCACAAAGGCCCACGGCGATGTCTTCTTCAACGTCGTCTCCCTCCACGAACCCCGCAAGGCCGAATTGACAAGATGGCTCGCCTCGCCCACGACAACACCCCTCCCTGCCCGTATCGCCGACGTCGTCGTCATCGCAAAGGGCGGTAAGGTCTACGATGGCCTCGTTGACCTCGCCTCGGGCGCCATCACCAAGTGGGAGCTCATGCAAGGCGTGCAGCCCATCGTCAGTCCACCTTTACCACGATTCTTGCACCCGCGAGTCCAAGACTGACACCACAACCACAGATCACAATGGAAGAACTCCAAATCGTCGAACACATCTGCCGCACCGACCCCAAAGTCATTGAGCAGTGTGAAATCTCCGGCATCCCCAAATCCGACATGCACAAGGTCTACTGCGACCCCTGGACAATCGGCTACGACGAGCGCCACGGCAACACCATCCGCCTCCAGCAGGCCCTCATGTACTACCGCCCGGATCCGGACACCTGCCAGTACCAGTACCCCCTCGACTTCTGCCCCATCTACGACGCCGACAAGCAGGCCATCATCGCCATCGACATCCCCACCGTCCGCCGGCCCCTCAGCAAGGCCGCCCCCGTCGACTACACACCCGCCGCCGTGAAGAAGCAGTCCGGCGGCTACCGCACCGATCTTAAGCCTATCAACATCACCCAGCCCCAGGGCGTCTCCTTCCAGATGCAGGGCCGCCAGATCGCCTGGCAGAACTGGAACTTCCACATCGGCTTCAACTACCGCGAGGGCATCGTCCTCAGCAACATCACCTACAACGACAAGGGCAACGTCCGCCCCATCTTTTACCGCCTGTCCCTCGCGGAAATGGTCGTCCCCTACGGAAACCCGGAGCACCCTCACCAGCGCAAGCACGCTTTCGACCTGGGCGAGTACGGCGCCGGATACATGACAAACAGCCTCTCGCTCGGCTGCGACTGCAAGGGCGAGATCCACTACCTCGACGCCGAGTTCCCCACCCGCAACGGCGGCGTGCGCACCATCAAGAACGCCATCTGCATCCACGAGGAGGACAGTGGCATTCTCTTCAAGCACACTGACTTCCGCGACGACTCTGTCATCGTCACCCGCGGCCGCAAGCTCATCATCCAGCAAATCTTTACCGCCGCAAACTACGAATACGCAATCCAATGGATCTTCCACGTAGGTTCCCTTTACTGAAGAATACCAGAGACGAGAGACTAACACCCCACAAGCAAGACGGCACAATCCAGCCCGAAATCAAACTCACCGGCATCCTAAACACCTACTCCCTCAACCCAGGCGAAGACACAAAAGGCTGGGGCACCCAGGTCTACCCGGGCGTCAACGCCCACAACCACCAGCACCTCTTCTGCCTGCGCGTCGACGCCAACATCGACGGCCCCCGCAACACGGTCTTCGTCGCCGACGCCGTCGCCTCCGACGCGCCCGTCGGGTCCCCCGAGAACTTTTACGGAAACGCGTTTTACGCCAAGAAGACCAAGCTCGATACCACGGGCAAGTCAAAGACCGACTACGACGGGTCGACGAGCCGCACGTGGGAGATTGCGAATACGGATAAGCTGCATCCGTACAGCGGGAAGCCGGCGAGTTATAAGCTCGTCAGTAGGGAGGTTCCTGGGCTGTTGCCCAAGGAGGGGTCGTTGGTGTGGAAGCGCGCTGGTTTTGCGCGACATGCCGTGCACGTCACAAAGTGTAAGTTCCCATTTCCTCATCTCTCCCCCTTTTCCCGTCATCACCCTGAATGAACGGGGGAAAAAAAAAACTGACCAACCCCAACAGACCGCGACGACGAACTCTGGCCCGCGGGCCGCCACGTCCCCCAAACCTCGGGCGAGCCCTCCTCCGGCATCCCCGAATGGATCGGCGACGGCACAGAGTCCATCGAGCAAGAGGACATTGTCCTCTGGCACACCTTCGGCGTCACCCACATCCCCGCGCCCGAGGACTTCCCCATCATGCCCGTGGAACCCATCACCCTCCTCCTGCGGCCGCGCAACTTCTTCGCGAACAACCCCGTCATGGACGTCCCGCCTAGCTACTGCAGCACGCCGAGCCAGGTCGCTGCCGGTAAGGGCGCGCTGGAGGCGGCGGATGGGGTGAGCAAGCTTGCTTTTGCGGGCGGTGCGGCTGCTGGGGAGTCGTGCTGTGCGCCGGGGAAGAGTAAGTTGTGAGGTGGAGGTGTTTTCTGTTCCAAGGAACTTTGGATGAAGCGTTTTAGATAGATATTTAGGCTTGCACATAGTATTGGGTAGCAATTTTATTCAACCGCACATGGCTGCTTTTCTTGCGTACTGTACGATAGAGTTCTATCCTCCCCAGACCCGTGGCGCTTTCCCAGGGCCTTATTCCAATCGAGAACAAGATTTCCGCCCATCGCCCATACCCGCAAAGAACCGTTGAGTATGATAGCGTAGTGAAACTGTACGATAATGAGAGTCGATATTGGCCGCTCAAGACACGCGTCAACTAGACACCAAAGGCACAAGATCGTGATTAGTCTCTTGCACTCCGTTAGCATGAGCACTCTGACACTCGGGTGCGGCACGTACAACGCAGATGAGGAAACTTGTGATAATGCCATCTATGTCGGACAAAGTAGACAGCAGGAAACGTCTAGAGTCCGCCTTGTGAATGATATTCGGTCTGAGGTCTTAGATAAGCTCTGACTTGATCGCCGCATCAGGAGTATTGCCGCTGGTCTCTTGGACTTTGGGGGTAGTGTTCTCGGGAGTAGTAGCATCCTCTGGGTCAGGATCCTCGGAAGCGGCTTCCGTAGCTTCTTTGGCGAATCGCAGACGAGCCGAGAGACGGCTGAGCAGCAAGCTCGTCTCGGGATCATAAGCAGGCGCTCCATCGAGAGAGACGTCATCCTTGGGCGCGGTTCGGGGAGGTCCGTGAGCGGCGTCCATGGCAGCGATGTATCGCTTGAGGAAGAGCTGCAGTTCATCCTCATGGGCGAGGAGATCCATCATGACTTCTGTGTCGACCCTGTTATTTCCAAGTACATTAGCCTCAATATGTTTTGAAGTTTAGATAGTATGGAGAAAGAAAGAAGGGGTGACACGAACACTTTCTCCTTTAACGCGCGGTCGACGATGGCCTTGCAGCGACGCGCTTTCTCCAGGGACATCTCCAATATGGTGATCAGTGGCTGCGCATCATCCGACATGCCAGGGTGGAGGATCGACATCGCGAGCATGACTAGGTCGGCATGCCGAAGCGCTTCTTCCGCGTGTTCAACGTAGCCTTCCGGGCTATCAAGAAGCAAAGAATGTAGGACGGATTGTTTTCTAGAATCCAGTCTGGGTTCCAGGAGCAGCGCCGCAGCAGCCTTCTCCACGTGGGAGCGTGGAGCTTCAGAGCGGAACAGCGTCATGACTGAATTGAACCGCGATTCGAGTTCTTCTGCGAGGTATCAACATGTGGAAGGTACGGGGCGAGGCAATTGGGCTGGCTTACCTCTGCCGAAATTGGGTGGCTCTGTTCCGTTGGGAATAGCCATGGCTGCAGAGTGTACGTCGTGGTGATAGCGTTCGGGGCGAGAGAGAGAGAGAGAGAGAGAGAGAGAGAGGAGTGTACCGGGCTCCAGTTGATGACGTTGAAAAGGTGAGGAGGGCGAGAAAAAGAGGAAGAGAAAGAGAATCAGAAGGACCCCCCCCCCCCCCCAAATGAGGCAGCATCATCTCAATGGAAGGACCTAGCACAGGCAACCGTACCTACCGATTTTTGGATTCAGAGTCGCGTTGAAAATCTTTGTTTTGAATATCGGTGGATGAGACAAACAAAGACATGATGAATTCGCTTTCTGGAAATACGAGTGACGTGTCTCTGAGGAGCGTGCCTCATAGCCAACTGGCCCTGTGAAGCTGTCAACTCACCATTGATTTAATTGAGAAGGAAACGGTCAACTTCGTATTAAAGCGTGCACATCAGATCATATGATGGTATATAATCAATTCGACAATAAGTTTGTCGCATCGTATGGCTAAATCCCTCAAGCAGATATTCCTCGCTTCCTGGAGCCATCTAGGGCTTCCACCTGAAAGCAGGGTGCTTCCAATCCAAATCACTCTCTTCTTGTCTCGATAAGCCCTGCAACTCGGCCTCGACGTTTCGGGCCTCACGTCTACGATTGTCTCGCTTCATCCAGAACAACGTGAGAGTCGAGGTAATCAGAATCATGCTGCAGGTCGCCAGGTTCAATCCGTTGCCGATTGGGTAGTTGGGTGCGTCCCATGGCAAGAAAGCCCACTAAAGCCACGAGTTAGTATACAATCAAAGGCTGTAATGGGGAAGGGGGGTAGGCTTACAGTTGAAATGAGGCCTCCCACGTTGCCGAACATAACGTTTGTTCCAATCGCTGCGCTGCGTGCCGTGTCGGATACGACATTCGCGGCGACCTGGGCGTTTGTGAGGGCGCCGAGGGCGAATACAGCTGACGTGATGAGGAAAGTGGCACCGTAGCGCACTGAGAGGTCCTTTGAAGCCAGGAACATGATATAACCAATCATTGCTAGCGGTGCAGACATCATGAAGAAGATCTGTCGGCGATCGAGGCGCCAGCTGAGCAGTGGCAGCAGGACGGTGAAGAAGGCTCCAACAACGTAGGGAGGGACGGTGAAGAGTTGTTGGCGCTGAACAGTCGCCGTGGGGTAGATACCCCTGACGATCGTTGGCAGGAAGAAAGCAAGACCTTGAACAGTGACGTTGTTCAAAAGGAAGACGAACGATGTCGCCAAAGTAACAGGTGCGAAGATTCCCCGACGGAGTTTCTTGGTGTCCATCTTGTCGAGAACTTGAGTCTGACCAACACGCTCAGAGCGAACACGGGTCTCGGCGAGATCCTTTTCAGCCTCAGTAAGCCAGCGAGCAGAGGCGGGGCGGTCGGTAAGGGTAATGAAGCCGATGAGCGCCAGCCCGATTGTGATGATTCCTTCAATGGCAAAGATCATGCGCCATGTATGGATGCTTCCGAATCCATCGAGGCGAAGAATGGCAGAGGCCAAGGGACCACCGAAAGCTCCAGCCAAAGGCGCCATGACAATGTACAAGCTGAGGCGGAAGGCGAGTTCGGATCGTCGGTACCAGCGGGACAGGTAATAGGCAATACCTGGCAACATTCCAGCCTCAAAGATGCCGAGAAGGAATCGGACTGCCATGAGCTGTGGGACGGTGTGGACGAAAGCAGTGCCGACTGAGCAGATGCCAAAGAGCAAGGTGGTAAGGGGGAGGAACCATCCGGGCCCCATGACCTTGCAGAGGATGTTGGCGGGAATTTCGAATAGAATGTAGCTGATGTAAAAGACACTGAGTGTTCCATTGTAGTCGTAGCCTGCCATGCCGAGGTCCTTCTCGAGACCTGCAATGCGAGCGTTGCCTGAGGTAGTTGTAAGTCGTTGTCAACATTGTAACGAGCCGAAAGAAACAAACCAATGTTGGCTCTGTCAATGAAGCAGAAGAGGTAAAGCAGAGCGACCGTTGGCACAATCATGAGATCGATCTTTAGCCTAAGCTTTCTCTCTACGGTCGGGTCGTACGCAAGAGACTGCTCGGTGTGCCTGACGATAAGGGGTCAACCAGGTTTCTGGGTAGTAGTGCGCTGTACGTGTCTTACTTTTCCGGGTCAAGCTTCGCGTCGTACGAGGACCTTTGCGCCATCTTGGCGTTGATGTCGTCGATGTTCTCGACGGTGGGCTTATCGTTACTCATGATGAAAGGAGAACGCGGTGCGTCGCTCAGCCGAATGCCTTTGTGAGCGAAATGTCGACTTCGGCGTGGTGTCGAAGAGGTAACCTGGGGTAGGAAAACTCTCGAATCTCGCAGGGGATGAAGGACCCTTTTCAATGTCGAGACGACTGACTCAACAAAACACTGTCTCAAGGGGGCCAGCTGGAAATCCCGTAGGCTGGTCCAGGCTGGCGAGATAGATATCTCATTAGCGACCCTTGTCTTTCCCCCTTGTCCCAGATTGGAGGTGGAGGCGTGGCACCTAGCTACCCCAGACGGGTTATCCCACACACCAAACAACGCGGGGTAGACATCCACAAGAGCGGACGCCTCTTTTCACATCCAATCTGCATCGGGTGCGAGCTCGGGAAACGGCACCAAGCCAGCACCAAGCAACACTTGCAGGACCGCGGCCCATGTTATCGGATCCATTCCACTCCCACATCGGGGGACATGCCAGCCAGTGAGGAAGATGCTCACTCTGATGACGTGTTGAGATGGTAATTTGGGTCTGCTACGACCGTTGCAACGATGCCAGTCTCAGGGATGGCGAACAAGCAACAATGGTGCAAGATTGGCGATGTGATGAGATGGATGTATGTTTACGCGCTGCAGCAGCTGCTTCTTCGAGGTAACTGCAGCAGCAGACACGAATATTTGACCGAGTCTTGTCTTGCAGCCGTGCCGATAAGCAGATGTCAGAACTGCAGCTTCCCGAATAGAGCATCACATTGCGCCAGCTTCTGTGCCTCTCTCCCTCCAGACCCGTCAACAACGGCTTTGGTCGCAAGCAGCCCTTGTCCAGCCTTCCATGTCGACTAGGCTCAACTCGGCGTAACTGGGGAGGAATGCAGATCACGCTCCATTCCCGACACGTTTCGGGAGTCAATATCGGCACTCCTAGTCGGCAACCAGAGCACGAGCTTAGATTACAGGCCGCGGACTTTAGATTCGGGCGTGCATCTGTACGGGAGAGAAAACCACACCGGGCACAAGTTGCAGCTGCCGTTCGTGCGTGCGTGCGTGGGGCGGATGCGAACTAGGTAGCTGGACCTTGTCAAGCACGGGGTTTGAGCGCCGCATCATATATCAGATGCAAGACCTCCGGAGAGCCGATTGGAAGATGTCGCGAATGGTTGAGTTGGTTTTCCCATGAACGCGCGCGGCTTCATCCGCTATTGCGACGTGCCAACCTTGGAGTCGTGGTGATGGAACTCAAATTGGGGTCCGGCGGAGTCTAGTCGACGTCTAGTCGTCCGTGATTGTGAATAGGCTGGGACACCACGTTGCTGTCCCCATACCCCTCTTGCTTTCGACAGGTCGACCCCCAACTTCCATTTCTCCAACTTTGCTTTTGGTGTTCGGATACTGTGACCAGCTGATCTTTGGCTTGTTGAGGCGTTTTGCTGACTTCTGCTTGCAGTGAAGACCGCTCTGAAATCCGGGATATCCGCTTCTCGGAAAGTCCGCCAAAACAGGTTCATCCCTGAATCCGCAACAGGTCAATGGATTGTTGAGTATTCCGCTAGCTCGGAATGATCGGTGATATAAGAAGACGCCAACTTCCTCATCACGACGGCGTGCTTTCCCCCATCGGATCTGGATTCATCGACTATCGGAAAGGGGGTTCGGAAGTCCTCTCTGTGCGACTTGGCCTACCGGGGTTGGTGCTCTGCGCCGTACGGAAAGCGTCCACGGCTTGTGTCAACGGGTTCCGAGGTTACAAGGCAAACCATGAGCGTCTTCTCTTGGCAAATGAAATGCCTCATCTTGTTTCGCGGGGGTGTTAATTTTTTGGCGCCATCCGAGTGAACAATTGGTGTTGTCTATGGCGGATTCGGCGAACTCTTGCCCAAACAGTCATTGACCAGGCAAGGCAATGTCGTTCACCAAGACGGATGATTGCCCACGGTCGAGACCTCGTCAAGCTAGTTAGGTATAGCATCCGATGAAGGAGCTGATCCGGGGAAGAAAAGGGACGCATCCGAAGCCCAGAACATGGAGAAGCGGGAAAAGCTAAGCTTAACGTCGATAGCGTCGAATCCCGCCAGATTGGGCCGTGGCTGTACTCCGTACATAGTCCCACGCGAGATGGCGTAGATTCATCGCCTGGAGACACACACACTGAATGCATCGACGAAGGCCGCTCGTGTGTTCCTTGAGGCCTCAAACTGCATCGAATTCCGAAGAAGTGGTCGCCCAAACGGTCGTGCGAGGGCTGTTGGCGAATATCTACCACATAAATGGTTTCTTTGCCCAACGTGCTATGCTTGACTCGAGATAGTTGGTGCTGGGTAGGTGCCTTGGCTGTTGGAGGGAACGGCTTGATTGAAGTTCCTTTGAGAGTTTTGGTTTGAGAAAGCAACAGCCAGGTAATGGCCCTTTCCGGCGGCAGTCCGGTCTAGAATCCGCGGTCCATCTGGGGAGTCCCCAGAACAGTACAGTCTGATGGAAACGAACGATAGCAATTGAGTCGTGGATTCGTGGTTAATGGGTTGAGAACTTTGAGAGGGGGGGGGCATCGCCTGGGCTCTCTCCTTGTGGACCAATAGAATGCCAGTACCGAGTACGTACCGGAGTCACGATTTGGTTGGACAAACACGACCCACCATGGCGGGCCTCGCACGTGCATTTTCTTATCTTATCCCGTATGACATAAGCAGGTACGTACCGGAACAGATAACGCACCTCAGGTTCAAGGGACGGGAAGGAGCAGACAGCAAAGTACGTATTCGTACAATGGTTAGACCCGAAGGAGAACTCGACGACTGGCACCGCATTCTCTTCAAAACCACAACGCACATTTACAAAGCTGCCTCGCCTCATCTGATTCTCTTATGCCATCGAGTCAGTCTCACCACTCCGCTGTGCAAATTTCCAACAATATACACTCCGTGTTCAACAGGCAGAGGGCAACGACAAGCAAAACTGTAATTTGACAAGCAACAGCCCGCGCACAAAGAGAACAATGCCAAAATCACAAGCGCAAACTACCAATGCTCCCCCGGAATGGGGACACCCCGGCTCCCAACGTCTCCTTAACGGCCAATAGGGCCGCCATCGGGCACCCAAGTCGCTTCGACAGTGGAGAATTACAATTCTCCCAAGGCCCCAGAGTCCAAGGGCCCCTCTCACACATCCACCACGCCTCACGATTCGCGACTCTGATAGCCCACACCGGGACGCCTTATCACTGCCGCAGTGCCCCAGACCAGGCGGCGGCTGGTTGGGCAATGGGCACACAGCGTCTAGAGACTAGAGTGCAGACCGCACCAATATTTGGCACCCGACGTCATCGAGCAGGGTGGCGGTCAACTCGAACCCCCACAGAGACAAAGCTGAGCAAGGCATGTTGGCGCAGCGAGTCGCAGCACAAGCACAGTGACGGCAGAGAAGCCCGCCAGTTTCCAACTGTGTTCTGCGGAAGAGGAAGCGCAAGGCAAGGGCCGAGGCGGGAGCGAACGCTATGCCAAAGGGCAGACGAGACGAAAGGACGAGACACTTGACAGCGAAGAAAGAGTTTGGAAGTTTCCAACGTCGGCCCATCCCACTGTTACAACTTACGCCGCCCGGACGACAATTAACCTCTTTTCCCACCCACCCATCCGACTGTCTGGCATCCCCCATCCTCTCCATTTCCCGTCGATCCGTTCAAGCCCAACGACGGGACCGCGGTCCATGGACGATGGGACACCCAGCGGGCTCCATGGCTCCGTACGGGATCCCGCTGTGCGCAGGCTGGTAGATCTGGCCCGGAATGGAGTCCTAGGCTCACTCCTGGCTGCGCTTTTCCAAACAGGCGCCCCGTCGATGGCTGCCCAAGCGGCGACGTCAGGTTCGAGAGGGCACAAAAGCGGACTGGGCCACTAAGGCTAAAGGCCGCGTTGGACCGGGTCTGGAATGGTCAGATGGGCAGAACCGCAGCGAAAAGCAACGACGCAGGCCTCGGGAAGGGCTTTTTACAAGGAGTAGCCTTGTTGCCACAGCCCTCTCGTCTCCCGCCAGGTTTGGACGACGGGTGCGATGACCGATACGGCACTGATGGCCCTCGTTAAGGACCGACAATCACTGTCGCTCCTCGCGCAAAATGCCATGCTGCGGTCAATAGCTTGTCCAACGACGAAACAGGCTTTGGATACCCAGTTCGAATGCACTTTTGCATCCCTATTGGTGTTTCTGGCATCATGCGGGAGAGCTGCGGACCATCAGTCCGTCACATAACTAACAGCGACCATCTTCTCCCTACCAGACCGTTGGACCATCCAGAGAGGGCCAGACAAGCTGGGATCATCGCTCAAGCAGCATCGCCAACACCACCATCTTCCTCGTTCAGTCTGACGAACCAAGCCAACCCTGTCCTGGCTTCCGTCCGTCGTTCCAAGAAGCCTGCTTTTCCACTCCACCACAAATCTCCGTGTCGTGTCCAAGACTTAAACTACAAAACCGCCTCGTTTTTTCCCAGCCACCACCTTTTCGTCTGTCTGTTCTCTTTTCGCAAGGACCCTTAAAAACGACACCACTCACGGCTTGGACCAGTGCGAGTGCCCGTATCACATTTCGCAGCTCCGGTGGTTCAGCAAGAACAGTCAGCTTCAGGATCGTTGTTGGGGAGTGTCGAGTAGACGGAGGACCATTATCGGGTCTACTGTCACAGGCCCATTTTCGTGAGGTCAGCTGGTAGAGTTCCAGGTTGCTTCCTGGCTTCACATTGCCTTCTCATAGGCCGTTTACCACCCACGCCTACCACCACACACGACACACACAAGAGAGTCTAGAACACCGAGTCCAGTCACTTGTCGAGTTCAGTCCGGCTTTCCATCGCATCACCCGTCTTCGCCCACTACCATACACCAGTCAGCCAAACCACGAAGAGGGGTTCATCGCCTGCCTCACTCACTCACCCACTCACTCACTCACCATACATTGTCAGTGTTACAGTGTCACATACCAGTCTCATAAACCCTGGAAGAAGCCACTCGCACGCCACTCTAACGCAGGGCGGCGCCGCTACTCCATTATCCAATCCAAATTCCAAAATAGCCCACTGGACCCAAGGCGGGTCAACGGCCTTCACCGACACTACCGGCGCTATTGGCCTGGGTTCGCATACCTTACGTTAGGGGGCCAGCCATCCCACCACTCACTCACTCGCTCTCTGCTGCGACACTGGATCACACACATTATTCCCGCTTTTCCCCTCTTTCTTCGCTCTCTTCTGGCCCTCTCTCCCTAGAGGTGTCGTCATCGCCCTGATTCTCGACTCTCGCAATACGAGCGACTTCTCTCGAGATTCACAACCACGAACTCCTGTCATCACCCGATCATTCCACAACCTCCCGGGAACAAACCATCACCTGTGACATCCCGGATCCCTAATTTCACGACCACCGCTATTTTTCTGCAATATTTTGTGATACCCGAGATCGACTTTATTTTCACTTCCAACCACACATACGTTAACCATCAACCAAAATGGCCGGCCGTGCTGAGCGCTGGGACCGCGACCGCTTCATGCAAGAACGGGAGCGAGACCGCTATCCAGATGATCGTCGCTATCCCGACGAACGAAGCAGATTCGAGGAAAGAAGCCGCTTCGAGGAACGTGATGACTATCGCCCACCGCCTCGCCGCGGCAGAGATCACTCCGATGAGCGCTTCGACCGTGGCCCATTTGACCGCGGACATCGCGGCGGATACGAAGAGGATTCTGTAAGAGACCGCCGCTACGTCGAAGAAGACCGTTATGGTCCTCGTCGCGGAGAACCTTTGGACCGGGAGTTTGATCGTCGTCTTTTCTTCGAAAGAGAGCAACGAGAAGTCCGTGAGGCCTCGCCACCACGCCGCCCGACCATGCTCCGTCGTCAATCTTCCCTCGACACCTTTGACCGTCGCCCTCTCCGCTTTTATGAGCGTGAGGAATATCCCCCGCCAGCCCGCCGAGAAGATGTTCGCCCTCGCGACGATTACCGGGCCCCTCCATACGTTCCAATCCCTCTGCCCCGCACCCGCCAGCTGGGCCCCGCACCATCTCAACGATACGACGAGATCCAGATCGCCGAACCAGGCTACTACGGCGACGAGGAGTTCCGCGGCATGCCTGAGCGGGTGAAGGAGCGTGAGGTCGTTACTTCACGCCGGCGTAGAGACCGCAGCCGAGAGTCTAGGGTGTCAAGGTCAACCAGAAAGAGTTCGCACCGAAGCAGCTCACGATCAAGCAGCACCTCCAGCAGGTCGACCAGCACCACCACCAAGACCGCGACGACGGTTCGCAGCTCCTACCCGAAGAAGGGCAAGACCCGCATCCCACAGCGCCTGGTTTCCAAGCGCGCGCTCATCGACCTGGAATATCCTTACATTGAAGAGGCAAGTTTCGCTTCAATCGAGCGCGCCAACTTTGAACTAATACATTTATTTCCCAGGGTAACACCATCATTGTTCTTAAAGCTCTCGGCCAGGACAACATCGATGAACTCCTGAAGCTCAGCGAGGAGTACAAGCAGAGTAAGTGATTCCATGTGCCTTCATCCATCTGACTGCAGCTGACATGATGCCAGGTGAATTGGAGATTGCTGCAGCTCGATCATCGGCTGGCAAGCATGAAGAACGACACGAGGAGATTTACACCATCCCTCCGCCGGTTGCTGCCCTTCCCCCGCCGCCCCCGACTGTCATCCATGTCCCTCCTCCTCCACCGGCTCCTGCTTCAGTGGCGCCGCCTCCCGCGCCCCCAACCGTCGTTTCTGCTCACCCTCCTGCTCCCCCATCCGTCTACTATGAGGCGCCTCCTCCGCCACCTCCCGCTCCCGTTCACGAGGTGGTCAACAAGACTACCATCATCCGCGATGTCTCTCCTGCTCGCAGCTCCACATCCTACACAACATCGACGACCGCAACACCAGTCGTATACGAGCGCCGCGAGTACAGCGAAGAGGTCCCTATCGGACCCATGGCGGTCGCTGAGCGTCGCCGTAGCCGGTCTCGGTCTCGCAAGAATATCAGATCCGAGATCAAGGCTCTTGAGGCTGAGCTTCACGAGCGCAAGCACGGAAGGAGCCGCGAACTCGTCCGTGCTGAACAGATGCCCGATGGCGCTGTAGTCCTCTTCGAGGAGAAGGTCGAGAAGGTCGAGGAGCCGCGGCGTGGGGTGCGGATTGAGAAGGACAAGAAAGGTAGGATGGCCATCAGCGTACCAAAGTACTACTAAGGTACGCTTCGTCACCGTCTCGTCAAGTCAGAGCCCAGGCTAACGCGAGAGTTTTCAGGTCCTCCTCCTGGAATCATGCGCGCTATGCTGGCAACTCTCACATAAGTTACCTGTGCCGGCCAGGCGCATGACTTGTTATTCAGTACGAGATTGAATGTACAGAAGGCGATTTACAGACCTCGTACACTACGAGACGGACTTTGTTGCATTGTTTATCAGCAGGGAATTGGATTGTTCAGGACGATTTTACCATTATTATTCCCCAATAGAAAAAAAAGGAACTCCGTTGGCTTTGCAATCCCGGGAAGGGATTTGCGTATATGTATGGATGGGATTAGTAACCCTATAGTTTCACATGCGCCCCAACGCAGGTTTTGGGGCATGGTTTGTCGCCTCCAGGTACTGGACGATTTACCGGTATACTCTTTTCGGTTAGATGGCGCAGGTTACGAATCTATGACTTCTATTTTTTGACGTTGGGATATCAACCATGTTATATTGTCCCCTTTTGAATTGTATCCCATCATGGGTGACCAACCTATTGATTTATGCACGCGCAGGCAAATAGCGCTTGAAGTTTGGCCTGACAAGAGCCTAGTTCATCCGGAGGTTATTGACACGTCGGCGCCGTACCTGAGATACAGCTACCGAGGCAAATGAGAACAGCGCATTCACCACGGCCTGAACCTTCAGTCGTCGTCTCGTAAGCTGTGTTTCGGCCCCGGTGGCAGCTCGGGAGTAGTTTTCCCTTTGCCAAAGTATCATAGAAGAGCCCCATCATGACAGTGAGCAGTCGGTTGGAGCTTGATGACTGAAGTAAGTTGAAGATAGGGTGACGCGTACTCTCAGCTCGTAAAGGGTTCCCTCCAACCCAGTTCTTACGAGGATGGCATTTTCCAGCCCTGTCGAAACAGGTCGTGATACGCACGAGACGTAAGAAGGTTGATCCATTGTTAATCTAACGCGTCGTCACCCGCATCATGGCTGAGTTCCTGTACTGTAAGTAGCGAGTCAAGATCTCCATGGCGACTATTTCGGACATGACTATGAAGATTATCGGTGTATGGGGAGAACGCGGAAGCGCGGCTTACCCCCTGTCGATCTCGTGTGCTTACTTTTGACGCCGGCTCGGCATCTACGTAGGGCCCGCATGTTTAGACGTCGAAGGCTCTAAACTCCCCGAACTATATTTTCCCCGAGGAACCTAGGAGCGGATTGGGAAATTGGACCCCGAGCACTGCCTCAACACCAACCTCTGATGTTGTTATTGATACAGGGCGTTGTAACAGAAACACCATGAATAGCTCAGCCAGCGCGTATCAATGGAGACCGAAATCTCATCATGGCTCTCTATAAAGCGAACGGTGGATCTTGTATTTGCACGAGGAAGGTCAAAACCAGCGGACACAGTAGTGATTGAACAGGATTTCTTCAGAATATAGGAGGGGAAAGCATTATTGCGACAATGGACCAACAGCCTTCCAAGTATCCTTACGACCCGTCTCTCGCTGCAGCAGTGACCTTCGCCGTGCTGTTCGGTATTAGTGGTGTAATACATTCCATTCAGCTCAAGCGGGCGAAAACTTGGTACTGGATCGCCTTTTTCATCGGTGTCAACTGTAAGAGGCCACTGAAACCCGTTGATTACTTGAAGCCTGACCACTGATGACCTGCTGAATAGTTGAAAGCATTGGATATGGAAGTCGAGCAATGAACGCATCCGAAACACCGAATTATTCACAGATCCCATTCATCATCCAGACTCTTCTACCGTTGCTTGCCCCGGCACTGTACGCAGCCTCGATCTACATGCTCCTAGGTCGTATTATCGACTCATTGGAAGCGAGCCATCTATCAATTATTCCCGTCGGATGGATGACAAAGATCTTTGTGTTCGGAGACGTATTCTCGTTCGCCTTCCAGTGCATTGGTAAGCCCAGTGTCCAATCGCCGTCACCTGTGATGTTGACGGAAAGACTGACTCATTCCCCAAATAGGCGGAGCTATCCTCTCCGGTGCAAGTGACAAAGACGGACTCGACCGCGGCCAAAACATCATCCTCGTAGGTCTCGGCATTCAAATCCTCTTCTTCGCAGCCTTCATCATCACCATCTCCGTCTTCCACTATCGAATCATTAACCACCCGACGACAACGAGCATGAACGGGCGGCGACCGTGGAGGCAGTTCATAATGGTCCTCTACGCCACCTCGTTCCTTATTCTGGTGCGGTCGATTTTCCGAGTGGCCGAGTTTGCCGAGGGACGGGACGGCGTGCTTCAGACTACAGAGGTGTATTTGTATTGTCTCGACACATCGCTCATGTTCCTTTGCGCTGCGGCTTTCAATGTGTGGTTTCCAGGGCGCATCGTTTCGCCTATTACTTTCAAGGATGAGGAGAGGTTTCCTCTTGGGGCTGTGTCGAATCAGGAGGATGATGGTGCGTTCAGGCTTCGTAGGTAGTTTGAGCCTGGAGGTTTAAGAAATGGAAGTGGTTTATGGGGGTCTGTTCATGAAGTATCTCACTACCTCATGCTTCACCTGAACCTCAAGAGCCGAAAATTTGAGGATTTAAGTATTCAGAAATGGAAGTCAGAAATTGTGGTCCAATTTAACTAGTTATTCAACCTATATTTCCACAGCGGCATCCGGCGTTTACAAGGTCTCTATCGTTCGCTTACGGACACGGCTCTGCCACTTGAGAAAGTGCTTGTGGCAATGTGGCATGGAATCCATTTTTCCGAAGCTCTCCCTTCACATCCTTACAACGGAAAGTTCTTCGGTAACCTCTGTCTGTTGTTATACCTTGGCTTCGCAAAACCTCAACGCATCGCCCTTGGAACCACTCGCAGGAGCCAACTGAACTGTCGTACTTTCCGCCACTTGGTTCATCTCGTCAAGAGTGTACAAGTCTTTGTGCTTTTGAGAGAGACTTTCATCGAGCCCGTTGAATAGAAGCGCCAGAGGCGACGATTTCCATCCCATTTGTCGCTGTCTGTCATCCCCACAACTAGAGCGTTGTTTCAGTAGCACCGAAACTGAGAATGTCCACTGCAGCACTAGTAATGAAGCCAGGTATGCTATCCAGTGCCAATTCACGTATATACACGTATAAACGGTAAGAGTAGTGCCTATGGATGTTCGAAGGAGATCCGGGTCAAGAAGCCCTGTGTATTCGTCATTGATGTCTCCATAGGGCTGGTTTCGAATGGCTGCTGTCATCGAGTTCGCTAAGCCGCGTGCCATGTTTTCGACCGTTGAAAAGTTGCCCGCACCATTAGAGTAGATACGTTTCAGCCATTCTGGGCCTTCATACAGGCTTATGTCGTCAGATAGGCTGCCTGTGACTGTGGTGTCGAGAAGAAGCTCTAGCGTTGAAATAATCCCTTGCCATGAGCTTGAGTCTATTGCCCAGACGCATTCTCGTGGAAATGACTTCATTGTAAAATTTTGCCACTTGAACCGATCTTCAGATCCAACCCTGTATCGATGACCGTCTACTGATGCGACTCGAACGGTGTGAGGCGCCCCATTTGCCTCTGCTGTACACAGCCGTTCCTTGCCGTCGACGAGGCTCGTTTTGGTCAAAAGTGCCCACAGCATCTCCTCCTGGGAGAAATGTCCATGGGGGTTGTAGTTCAAAGTTCCCTCAAGCTCTGGGCGCTCTGTTTCACGGTAAACACCGTCTTGGACGCTTCCGTTATAACGCTTTACGCAAGCATCCAGCCTACACCGAGAGGCAATGGCTATGGTTGAAGATTGCCAGCCTTCTTTGCAGCTAGGATCAGGATTGACAACCATCAGAACGTCAAAGCTGTAGAAAGGTACAAAAGGTCCTTCATCGTAGCCCAAAAGTTTAGTTGTGGACTTCAGCGAAAGCTTTGTTGAGTTCCATGCACTGTACACTTCAGTACTTCCGCCATTCGTACCATTGAATGAATCAAAATGCAGTCTCCAGACGGAATGTCCTGAGATGTCAGGATCGTCGGAGCGCGTGATTTGTTCTGTGATATCTTGACAGGAGTGACATATGGCCAGAGAAGAGAAATAGCTGCCATGGCCCTCCCCCGTAAAGTTGCAATTACCCGTAGGACATCTAAAATTGATCATGGCAGCTGTTTCCTGGGGTTGAATGAGTCCTTGTTTGATGGCCGATTCCATGATGGCACCGAGTGGCCCGCCTGGTTCCGAGTCTGAGAAGTAAAGAACTGGCTCATTACGTATACGACCGGCTGAGTAGTTGTTTGCTCTCGGAACCTCTGCTAAGCTGGCGTTGGCAGATTGCGTGGGAAGTAGACATCTTTTATGTTCGATCATAGCTTGAGAAATGGGGTCGATTGCGAGCGCTGCTACGGTAATGAGAGCGCCCAACCCAGCCAGATATCTTACGTAGGCATGTTAGTATATTGGCTGGCAAATATCGGTGTCTGAGATCAGGCACCCTGACAAGCAAAGTGATTACTTGTGCAATAACTTACGTTCTCTGTACCTGGAACACTCGCTTGATGATCAGCATCAAGGAGCCCCAAGGTCCACGAGTAGCATCGTCATAAAGAACAATGTCGGCTAACCTCCGCGGGCGCTGGAAGCAATCCCACTTGAGCTGACCGATGCCTGTTATTCATGTTGGTGTCAGCGGCAAGGAGTTTTCTTCGAACCCTCAAATTTGCTCCAGAACTACACACCTTCAGCAACCGGCATCATTAGAGACGCCTTGAAAATGGCAGTGAAGACAGCAACCATGGTATTGATCGAGATCAGGTCTGGCCAGTGAGGCAGTGGCTTGCCGTCGTGAAAGGCCAAGATTATGACAATCGCGATGAGACAGCCAATAGCGAGCAAGCTACTCAATATCTCCATCCACCAGGTTTTCCATATACCTATAAAGTATTTTGGTTCGACAGTTCTCATACGAACGCCTTTCATGTGACACTCTTCTAAGGCGATTGTTTTATCGCCCCTTCGGCCTCGATTACGTAGCTGACTGACAGAAGAGGTCAGTGATGTTTTGATGCCTGTTGCAAAGTGATATATTCTGCGATCACCGTCGCGAGGGACCGCAGCAGGAGGTGAGCTTATAAAAGGAGGGTTCGAGCAGTTAGGCGAGTATGGATCCGGAACTTTCGCGCACTCGGTTGTTGCGAGACTTAACGAACTGCTATCTCTTTCTGACGATGCCGTGTTGTGCCTGTCGGAGAACACTGACGTGGAAAGCGAACGATGGTCATCTTGAGGGGTGTGGGTCGGAGACATGTCGTTGCAGATGTACAGATATGGGTTGTTGATGCTCGAGAATGTGTTCAGGCACAGTCGATGCTTCGATGATTGAGCGGCCTTTTTCCGGGGTCTTCAGAATCGAGGTTTCGTCTTTATGTCGTATGGATCTTCCTCTACCTTACCCAATAGCAAGACTACCCTCTGCGTCTAGCCCATCGCCTCTTGGTTGTTTGACACGGGAACGACTTGTCGACATTGATCTGACGATGGTGTCACTTGGCCAATCACAATTGTAGCTCCACAAGTGCTAAGCGACATTGATGGTCGCCCTGTGCGATGTATACATGCAGGATGGCAAATATGGCATGTACAGGGTCGCATCATGAGCGGCCTTGCGAAGAATGGGAGTACATCAGTATCCAGAAGATATGGGATCGAATATCTGTCAGGGACGGGCTCTCTAGCGATCACTTGCTGTCAGTCTCGGGTGTTCCTTACACAGAAAGACATTGTTTCCAATGTTGTGCTACTTGTCTGACGATGTCAGCGAAGTCTGACGTGCGCTGCCTACACTCGTTGTGAAACCTCTAGAGAAAGGCGTACCCGCCTGATCATAAGAACGTCGTATGCGGCTCTGCCGACTATTGGTGGGCAATGGATCTTGTTGTTTGCGAACTTACATCCAGGCTTTCAGTTGAATACATTTTCCCGCCGGGAGTTTCTTGAGGACAGATGTAGACGGGAGCTGATCATGACGCCGGAGAAAGAGACGGCTCTGGAGTTAGGTCTGAATCACATTTTGACTCTGACTACGACGGATCTACAAAAAAACACAGCTACGTTGTTGAACCTCATTGACCGCAATGAATAGGGCGGAGATACCGACAGGTGTGAAAAAGAGTACAATTGTCAGTACCGCAAACTCTAGTTTTTTACCTACCTAGTGTAGACAAGCGAGTGTATGAGCATCGATAATGGTCATAGGTCTCATCGAATGGGTTGAATGTTGAAGGCCCTTGCGCGGAGTAGAGATCCTTGATCATGCTACAAAGAGCTACGGAGGCGAGACTGGGAAGGTCGTGCGATTCCATCCGTGGGCGTAGGGAGACAACCCAGGGAATAAGTAGGCAACTCAATCATACGATTAGTGAGTGTACATTTTTAATAGGCCAAGACACAAGAATTTATTTAAGTTATAAGATCACCGACTTGCGAAACCTTAATCGAAGTCTGCCGAATTGTGCAAATGATCTCAACGGGTAGGTAGAACTTGGGAGATGGTCAATCGACGCACGATCGCTTCGGACGTCTCGCTTCTTATCAGAACCCGGGAACCCGCATTTCGCTCCTTACTAAGGACCGAAATCCCATGCTTCAGCAAGGCTCTGTGCCCGCGTTGCACACGTACCACCAGGAATCACACATAGAATACTCGTTCTTGTTGAATGGATACTGGCAGCGTTGCCTACTAGATGATGCAGATTTCACTTATAACAGCTTGATGTCATTACTTTGTCTGCAATAAATGCTGTGCTTTCTCAGCAGAATCAGTAGGTCTTTCTAACCGTTCACTATGCGCTGAGGCTAGATGGATCCCATCGTCACACGCACCCCTCGCAAGTATGAACGAGTTTTCACGCTCTCCTCAACCCGGATCAGTTGATTGTCTGAAGCATGTTTTTTCATAAACCATCTGGTCAGAGATGTTGTAGGTATCCCTGCGGCAAGTTCTACACGTTTGCGATAGGCTTCGAAAACGTTCCCCGAGACTTCTCGTGCAGCGTCATCGACTGAGCTGGAAGACATCGATTTCCTACTGCAGAAACCACATCGCGTCTCGAATCAATCCACGAACATATTAAGGTAATGGAAGTGAAGCAAATAAGACGCCTTGGACCCTGCCCCAAGCATATTGTAAGTTAGGTTGAAGGGTCTAATTTCGAGCATGTGTGGTAGCCCGAACTGACTTTTCCGAAATCTTAGCTCCGAGTGGCCTTTAGAGTTGAGATTACCACCTGATCGGTACACTACAATAAACCGTACGATTCAGTTGATTGCGTACGCTCCCGCTATACAATGGTGCATGTGGCTTAGTGCCCGGTGCTCAGCCTGGGCCTGTGTCACTAGTAGATCCCTGCCGACAATGCCATAAAGGGATGGACGCCCTACACTCTTTAACCAATGCATAAAAATCCCGTCTAGGGACGAGCTTAAAGAATGGTGACATCCTCTGTCCCACCTTTCGTTTCGCGATGCTCTGGAGGCCACCGATGCCATCGATAAGCTACTTGCATCTACTCGTCTGACAGCTTTGAGTCCACAGTAGCTTGTGCTATTTTGTTGCTCAAAGCCCGGCATGGAGTCGGCAACTGTTGAGGCACCGCCGATTCCACGCAAGCCATCATGCGTTCTTTGCAAATCGCGGAAAGTGAAGTGCGATCGCGAGAGCCCGGCGTGCGGAGGCTGCGTCAAGGTTCGTGATCCGTGAAAGCACTCTCCCCTCAAAGATACTTGCTTGAAGATCTAACAGCAAGTCATTGGTAATTCAGTTAGGCGTGGAGTGTGTACCACGCGAAAACTCAAAGACACGGAACCGGAAGAAGCCCAATGTTGAGCTTCAACGAAGACTCGCGCGATGTGAGGAACTACTCCAACAGTTCGTGGCTGCAGAAGAGCGTGAGAAGAGTAGTGAGGGCACCCGTACCGAGCCTAGTCCGAAAAGCAATACAAGTACAAGGATTGAGGATCACGATCGGAGCCGGGATCGCGAAATGCAAGCGCTTGAGAAGTCTCTGGGAAAGCTCGTTATCGACAAAGGGTCTGTCAGGTTTACTGATAGCACCCCTTGGGCCACAGTATTCGATGAGGTAAAAGCTCTATCAACGGTCACTCGCCAACCAAATGTCTGACAATCTGTCTGCCTTCATTTAGTTACAAGCCATGAGAGCAATCGTGGAGGACGCCGAGAGTCCTACGAGCCTATCGAGCCTACCCGAAACGACGACGATTCAACAACCGTCCATTGCGAATGAGGCAAACATCATGGACGTCAGGGAGCCCAGTGCCCGCAACCCGCAACATCTGCATCCGCCTCCGAGTCATGCCATCCTGCTATGGCGGATGTTTGTAGATCGAGTCAACCCGATAACGAAACTTATTCACGTGCCGTCCACGCAACGTCATCTGGTCCAGGCCACGGCGACTCCGCCATCTTTGCCGCGAGACACGGAAGTTTTGTTCTTCTCGATCTATGCGTGTGCTGTTGGTTCGATGAGGCCAGAAGAATGCACCAGGTTACTGGGCCAGTCGAAGATAGAGCTTTTAGATCGGTTCTCGAAGATCTTGCGAAAGGGGCTCTATCGTGCGCGCTTCTTGGAGAAGCCCACTTTCGTGCTTTTGCAAGCACTCGTACTTCAACTAGTACGGAAAACCTCGCGCATTGTTTTGGACCTGCAAAGTGTCGCACAAGTCCATGCCATTTCACAAGGTTGAACGTCCAGCTAAGTCAAGTTTCTAACAGGTTGTGATTCCGGATCGAGAGAGTGCCCACGCGAATTGGGTCATGAGCGGCGTCTGTATTCGAAGTGCCCAACTGTTAGTATCCCTATTACAGGGTAGTTAGTTCGAACCGTGGGTTAACGAAGAGATTAATTAAACTATATAAATTTCTATATAAGTATAAAAAGGAGGTTCTAACTATAAGTTAAGCTAGTTACGATAATCGTAAATAAGGCCCCTAATTAGCCCCTATATAATTAGCTATATACTATAATTAAATTAAATTTTTAATTTAATACTAACTTTCTCTTTTTTTTATTAATTTACTTATTATAATTAGAAATATAATTTAACCTCGGGCCTATTTATTAAGTCGTTTCCTTTTTTTCTTTTTTTTTACTTTTTTTATATAACTTATCCCTCTATTTATATATTAACTTTTTTATTATTTATAAATTATTTTAACCTCTTATTAAGTATTATTTTTATAAAAGCGTTAGCGAAGTTATTATTTTTATTAATTTAATATATTTTAAAAATCTTGCGTTTTTTATATAATTACTTAAGGGTTATAATATTAATTATAAGCCTCTTTTTTTTTTTTTTTTTAATTTAATAAGGTATTTATATAATAAATAGGAATTAGTATAAATAACCGTTAAAATTAATAAAAAGTTAAATATTACGACCTAATATATATAACTAAAACTAGGGCCCGCCCCGCTAGCTTATAACGACTATAGTATACTATATATATAAAAAAACGAGAATATAAGGTAACTCTTATAAAACGAAAGAACTATAAATAAGTTATATATAAATAAAAAATAGTAATTACGTAATAAAATAATTATTATAATTACTCTAAGTAAGCGCTTATTAATATTTACTAAGTAATTACTTAGTAAATAAGAGTAATTATTAATAAAAGATATATTTATAGTTAGACTTATATATAATATAAACTTAAACTAGGCTTAAGAATAGACTTCTTATAGCTTTTTTAATAATTAACTTAGTATTAGATTTTATAATTATTTTTAACTATTTTTACTAAGAACCCCTTTTAATAAAATTATAATTAATTACTAAAGCCTTACTTACCCTATAACTTATAAATATAGTTTTAAAAAAACTATTTATAATTATAATATTACTTATTTAGTACTTATAACCTTAACTTTTATTAATATAACTTATTATAACTAACTAGTTATAATATTTTAATTATTCTTATTTAATAAATTAACCCTACGAGACTTACTAAGTAATAAAATAAACGACGATATTTTTTAAAACCCTAAGTACCCCTTTATCTAACTCTAAATAACTCGTTAACTTAGTTAGTAAGCTAACTAGGGTCGAGGATAATAAAATACTTAATATTACTTATAACTCTAATAGTAATATAGTTTTTAAAAAAATAAACTATAAAAAAATATAGTATATTATTAAAAAAAGTAGTAAATAAAATAAAGAACTCGTAGAACTTTTTAATAATAACTCTATTTAAATAGCCGTAACCTTAGTTAAAAATAATAAAAATATCGCTGCTCTTTAAAATATAGTTAATAAAGCTATAACTAACTTAGGAATTAAAAAAAAAAAATAAACGACTTAGAATAAAAAGTTAGAACCCTTTAAGTTATTATTAATATTATTAAGACTTTTATAAATAAATAAAAAAAACTTAAACTTAATATACTTATTACTTTTAATAAAACTACTAAACGTTTTAAGGGATTCCTAATTTAAATTAGAACTTACTAAACGTTTTATATTACTAACTTCTATAATAAAACTAAATAAGTTATTTATATAATAACCTTCTTTAGGGAACGAGCTTTAAAATAGTTCGAACCTTTTTAAAAAGAATTTCTTAATAATAATAGCTATTTACTTTATTATAAAGAGGAAATTATAAATATTTTTAATAATATAGTAAGATTTTAAAATACCCTTAAATCCCTATTTTAAAACCCTAATAAAAAGTAACAAGCTAAAAAAACTTAGCTAATTTTTAATAAATTAAGTTTACCTCGTACTACGCTACTAAGTTTAAAAAACTCGTAATATAACTTAATTTTACTAAGGAAACTTATATCTTTTTATTTTATTAAAAACTAAAAAATAAAGTTAAGGATAAACTTAATAAAATAAAAATACTAATAGAATTTTTATAATATATCGAGCTTATTATTAAAATCGATACTTAATTATATAAATAATATAAAAAAAAAAGAGAGATACGACGCCCTTAAGCTAACTCTAATAAAAAATATTAAAACTACAATAAACTACTAAGTAACTATTAAAATAACCTAAGAAACTAGTAATAATAAAGCACGTTTTATAAATAATATAAAGGATTTATAGACCTTAATATTACTAAATATAAAAAACCGTAATAAAAAAAGGACTTTAAATATTATAACTACGATAAGTTAAGATATATAGCTAGAAATTATTAATAACCTAAGTATATTTAATACTAGCTTATTTTAAAAAAACGAGTTAATATCGTAAATAAAGAAGTCCCCTATAAATAACTTTTATAAATAGCTTATTATAATAACGGCTACCTTACTTATTAAAATAATAAAAAATAAATAAAATAGTACTTAAAATAATTAAAAAATATAGGACGATCCGGATATAATATTATATTACTTCTTATTAAAACCCTAATAATAATAATAAAAAAAAATACCCGCTTACTAACCCCGCACTTTTAAAAAAAATAATATTAAATATATTACTATACTTTTTTAAATTTATAAAAATATAAAAAAAAAACTAAAATAGACCTTATTATAAAAGATATATTTTACTTTTTTAAAGGATAAATTAAATAAAATCTCCTAGCTAATATAAAAAAATAACTCCTTAAATTTAAAAAAAAAGGACCTAATATTAAAAAAATTATAAATAGCCTTGTTAATATAATATAATAAAACTATATAAACTAAAAATAATTTACTAAATTTAAAAAAAGACTTAAATTAAATAAAATCCTAACTAAGTCTATTTATATAATATAAAAAGTAAACGGTAATAAAAAATTTATTTATAAAGTTAAAGAGTAGCTTAAAAACCTCTTATATAAAAATAAGATCGAAGTACTTAAAAAACCGATTCTTAACTTCGGAACTACGAAAAAAAGAAAAATTAATTTTAATTTTAAAAAAAAAAAATATTAATATAAGAACTAGTTCTTTTTACTTTAACAAAATAAAATTATTTTATAATTTAGACGAACTTCGTAATATTACCTGACGACGTACTTAGATAAAGATCGATTATAAAATACTACTTAATATTAATAATATTAATTTTAAAAAAAATAACGATAAACTACGGTATAAATATATTTATTTATTTAAAAATAACTAAATTATTTAGTTCTATAAAACTAAAAAACGTAAAAAGGTTATAATAACCCCCTATATAAATAAAGATTATTCTCTATTTAACCCCACGGACCCTTTTTATAAGGAATTATTTTAAGTAAAATACTTAGATAATAAATACTTTTAGTACTTTATATATAAATAAAATAGCCGTTTTTACTTATAAAAGCGTAATAATAAACTTATTAAAAATATTTATATAAAAAACTAACTACTTAGCTAGATATTACTAAGCTTCGATAATAATAATAAAGTAATATTTAATCTAAACCCTAACTTCTTTATAAAGTACTTTAATAGTAAATATATAGAATAAGAAAACTATAAATATAATTAATACTAAATTTATTATATTAAAAAAGCTAAAGTATAAAAGAAATAATAAGAACTATATAAGTAGGGTACTTAATAAAAAAAGCGTATATTAAAAAACTAAAAAAGCTAATTATAAAAGAATAATAAGAGGTAAGGATAAAAAAAAAGTTCTTATATATAACTAAATAACGTAACGACGCATATTTATAAATTAACCTCAATATTTATAAACGAGGACTAAACGCTATTATTAATAATAACATATAAAAAACCTATATTTTATTAAGAATAATAAACGAACTTAATTTATTATAAATATAAAAAGACGATCTATATTAATTATAAATAATAAAAAGAGAACGAGTTAATTATAACTATAAATATATTAATTAAGAGACCGTATACTTCTTAATATATATTAATAATTAGTTAGAATAACTCTAATATAATATTATAAAAATTAGAAATATTAACGTTATCTTAAGAATTTCGTAGTTACGAAAATATAACTTATAAATAAATTAGATTAATAACTAGGTCCTTTAGGAAAATTTAGTTACTAAATAACCTAAAAAAAAAAAGGGTTTAAATAGATTTTTAATAATTCTTAAAGAACGAGAATAAATATAATATATAGCTTTTATTAAAATAGTAAAAAGCTTTAAGAAGTTCGTATATAGTACTAA